TTCTGATTTTAGAACATGGTTTGCCTAAATACTATAATTACCAACAGTAAAAAAAATACATAGTTGATTGCCCATTATTAGATTTGAAAGCATAATTAATAACAATAACAGCAGATAGTTACATAGAACTGGTATGAATCTTAATTCTTCTTTATTCCTGCTACCACTTTATAAGGCACTCTGTGGTGCCTCTCCTTAGCAAGCCTATGCCTGATCACAGTAAGAAAATACCCACAACAGACAGTGGCATCCAAACGACGATGGTATAGAGATAACAGAACGGGAAAGTCGCCTCTAAAGGAAGAGATTTGCCCTGGTTTAGATCTAACTTAAATACCTGTTGCTCACACTTTCACATAAAAAGAGTTAGTCCCCTAGGTGGCAGTATTAGAAGATACTGAGGATCATTGAGAGGTAGGGCTTCAAATAGTGTCCTGGGTGATCCTAGTCTCTCATTGTTTCTGTTGAGTACAGGGTAATCAGGGATAAGAAGCTCTTTTTTCTGTCAGTCAATATCATTCCATACTAGAATTTTTGCTAGATGGCTTAGGAACAAGAAAGCAATCTGATGATCTAGCCCCCCTAACACCAAGTCCTTGCTCAATGGCCCATAGTCATCAGGTGAGCATTTATCAAAAGAGTGCTTACAGTTGTAAATATGTGTATTTTGCTGCTCGAAAACATCTCAGTGGCTCTCCAAAGATCCATTCTCAGAAGTGTCACTATCCAAACAATAAGACCACAGAAAACTCCACAGGAGAACAGATTCCCAAATCTTATCATTAAACAAACAGCTAGATGTGGTAGTTCACACCTATAATCGCAGCATTCAGAAGGGCAAAGCAGCAACAAGATTAGCCTGTGCTTCACAGTGAGCTCTAAACCATGCTGAGCTACAACGAGACCCTGTCTCCAAAAAGCAAACAAGCAAGCAAGTGCACCTCGTCTAGTCCCACTTATACCCAGCAACGCTTAGTTCTCTGGTGTCTGTGATTTTCCACCTCCACACTCCCACTTAGTCACTTGCTTTCAGGAGAGTTTAAAGTCAGTAATTTTGGAATTCACACAACTAAACTATATTATTAGTAGCTATTTGGCCCCTACACCAGTTTTGTATAAATAATAGCTCTGACATGAAGATCACAATAATAGCAGCAGGCTAAGGAATAACTTCAAGGCCATTTTTGTTGATGCCACCAAGTCTTCACTTGGGCCTGTGCAGATGCCTAGTCTTCCCCAAATCACACTGGTACTACCATGTTCTGATCTTGTGTTGCATGAAGACCCATGAAGATTGATTACATGTGTGCTTAGCCCACTGATTACTTCACATCCGGTCACATTTTCCCATGTCTTAAATCATCCTCTCTTCAGGGAAGAGGACTTGAGACTCGGTTCTTTCACCTCCACCCTCAGATGCTGAGTAAATAACTTTGTTTTACAAAATGTGTAGGTCAAGGAATTGATTGACCTACTTCACTGAAAGCAAAATGGGCCTGTGTTTTGTTGTTGTGTTGTTTTGTTTTATTTTGTTTTGTTTCGTTTCAGTAACACCCTCTAACTCTATATTTGAGTTTCAATCTCTTTTATGACCCAAGTTTTCAAGCAGCAGATTTTTAGGAGGCTAGTAAAACACGTAAAACATCCAACATCTCAAAAGCTATCCATTCTAAAAGCAGTTAAAGTTAATGTCTTAATGTCTAAAAAGTTTAAGTTTCTAATTTTCTACAACTTTTACTTACATAGAACTCTTCCCAGGCCAATTTTCAGAGACCAAATAAAACGATGCAGCATGGCAATGTCACAACACAAACATTAAAACGACATAAGGAAGTATATCGATAGTCTGAAAAATGGGTCTTTTATCCAATTAAGTGAAGCATAACTTAAGCAATACTAGTCAGAAAACAATATCTGCTATCTTTATCACACTTACCTATTATTTGGTTATTCTGCTAATGAGATGATAATAATAAATCCACATGCAAACATAAATAGTAATATATGTTTAGACAGCTTAAACACCTTTCTCGGGCTTATGAAGAATCTATTTCTCAACAGATTCTCCTCTGAACCTAGTCATGGACAGATTAGCATTTAAATAAAGCTACCTTTAAGGATATTTTTTTTTTTTTTAGAAACATGCTTGAGTAGTGAGGATCTATTATTTATCTTTTAAATAAACATGAGGAAAACATAACTCTCTGCCTGAGTCAGATGTGCACAGAGGCCAACATAATCAGCAAATGTTATGCTCAGTGCTTTGCATGTGTGGCTGCATTTAATTCTCAAAGGAGCCTTAGAAACAGGAAGCATTACTTCTGCTTTATAGATGAGGATGCTGATGAGAGAAGGGAAAGCGGGCCCAAGCCAGCTGAGCAGTGACTGGCCTAACTAGAGCTTAACCCAAAGGCTCCAATACTCCATATCTCACCTTCTTTTCACAAACCAATTTGCCTCAAGCAGCCAATCCTTCAACACTAATTTAGTGTGTCTATGATAATATCTGGGGGTAAGAAAGGTTACTGTATCTTGGAAGATTGAGATTCCTCAGAACTACGCAACTATCTAGTACCATGTTGTTCACTGTGATGACCACCAGTCATATGTAGCCACTTAATTTAAATTGTGTAATATTAAATGAAATCTAAAGCTCAGTTCTTCAGTTTGCAGTGCCCAACATTTCAAATGTTCAGTAGCAGCACATGACCAGTGGCTGCCATACTGAACTGAGTACACTATAGAACAGTCTTTGCAGAAAGATCCATGGGATAACACTAATCTAGAGAACCTCCAAGAGGCATGGTCAAGTGGGAACTATCACTATCTTTAAGATTACTGTTCAAAATGTTAGCATTTTACATATCAAGAAAATTTTTATACCTCCACTGTTAGGACAGGACCAACCTTTTCTCCATAAATTATTTCTAATATGTAGAGTCAGTTAATCCCCATTATTTGAAGGAAATTGGTTCCAGGAACTTCCTCACATGGACACCAAACCCCACAGATGCTGAAGTCCTTTATATAAAATGATATATGTATTTGTACCCTGTTGCATTTAAAAGCACATCTAAATTGTCTGTAGTCATTAATACAAGGTAAATGCTATGTAACCAGTTGTTACACTACATATGCTAGGGAGTAAAACAAGAGAAAACTACATTATATGTTCAGTACATGTATAACTGGGTTTTGTTATTGTTGTTGTTTATTTTGAGATCACAACTTAATTATATCATTTCTCTCTTCCCTTTCCTCCTTCCAAATATCCCTCCGTACTTTCCTTCAAAATCATGGCCTCTTTTTCCATAGATCTAAAAACATACATACAAGTAACATTATATGGATCCATGACATTATATTTTTGAATATATATATATATATATATATGCTTGAATACATATATACATGTGCAGCTTATAAAAACTACATTTGATTTACAGTTAATTTGAATCCATAGACATGAAGAACAGACTTGTAATAGTTGACATTAGAGAAAGCAATAGCTGACAATTTGAGAGGAACTTTAAAATTTTATATGTATGGGTACTCATATACCCATTGCAATACCCATATTGCAGGAGATCCCTGCATGTGGGTCTTTTGAAACTACAGTTACAGATGGCTGTGAGCTACCATCTGAGTACTGGGTCTTTGGCATGAGCAGCAAGTGCTCTTAACTGCTGAGTCATCTCCTCAGCCCCATGCTCTGCTTTAGACATTCTAACTTGGAGTTAACCTTATCCTTCTTGTTTTTGATGTTCTAGGGAGAAAAGCTATACATTAACTCCACTTTTAGGAACTGGTTCATCTAACACTTGAAAATATAAAATAAGAGACTTAAAAAATTCCATCACAGTATAGAAGCCATGGAAGAACTCTGCACAAAAATGTTTATGAATACAACTGTGTCTATTAGGGAAAATCGTTATTCAAAGCAAACAACACTCTTCTTAAAGGAATGTGAAAGCACCATGCTGAAAAAGAGAACAGAGTTCATATCATATCCATATTAGTCATACTAACAGGAACAAGAGGGAAATGCAGGCAGAGAGAACTCAGGTGTCCCTAAACAGAAGACTCAAGAAGCAAAATGTGAAACAGTTCTCAACCTTAAAAGGAAGGAAATCATGGCACACACTGTGCCATGCATGAACCAATGCTGGAGGATGCTAACTAAAATGGGTCAGTGACAAGACAAATATAAAGATTTCATGAGGAAATTATAGTAGTCAAATTTATAGAGGGAAAAGGAGAATGGCTGGTAGTTGCCAGAAGCTGGATAGAAAGGCAAAAGGGAAGTTGTGGCTATGTAGGTTTAGAGAGTTTCCATTGTAAACAATAAAATGTTCTAGAAATTAGTTGCTGAACAAGGCAATACTTAACACTATTGAACCAGATGTTCAGAAACTAAGATGCTACATTGTATGCTGTGTATTTTCCCACAATAAAACAGTAAGGAGGTAGAGTCTCTTTTCTATTGCTTTAATAAACAAATGACCGGGGCAACTTATAGAGGGAAGGGTTTATTAGGGCCTAAGGTTCCAGAGTGATAAGAGCCCATCACCATTTTAGCTTCCCAAAAAGGTAGCAATACCAGATATGCTGGCTAGAGCAAATAGAAAGCTCCCATTTTAAACCACAAGCTCAGAGAATGAACCAACAATGATATAAGGCATTTAAACTTGACATCCCACCTCTAGTAATGTACTTTCTCAAACAAGGCCACATCTCCTAAGCTTTTCTAAACAGCACCACCAAGTGGAGACCACATATTCAAGTGTCTGAGACTATAGGGGACATCTTATTCAAACCACCGAGAAGGTAAACACAGGCTTCTCTTAGAAGCATAAGATCTCTTAGAAGTCTGTTAGATCTAACTACTATTGCATTTCTCAATCATCTATTAATGTCTCAGTCTTTCTACTGCAACAAAAGTCAATTGATAAGATTTAAATATTATAGTAATATAACGATCAAACCAAATGTCCAATTACCTGGGTCAGTGGCAGAAATAATTGCTCCGAAAAAGAGACAATCTGTGTAGTAAAATTTATCAGAGAGCTGGCCCACAATCTTCATGAGTTTCACCACTCCATACATAAGATTTCTGTAGATGGTAGGTAAACAATGTCAGGGAAAAAATCTTGCACACACAGAAACAGAGTACTAGAGTGCTATTAGAACACTGTACTTGCAGGAAAGCAATAAGCAGCTCTTATGGGTGGACACTTAACAGTAACCTAGGCAAATAGGACTTTGGCATCAAGGACTGGTTTGTAGTTTATTATTATCTTGCAGAAGCATCTTTTGCTATTGTTGATTTTTGTGTGTGTATGGAGGTGGGGCACTGAGACAGTGTCTCATGTAGACCAATCAGGGATTGACTCACCAAGTAAAAAGAGTGACCCTCAACTTCTGATCCACTCAAGAATGTTCCTGAATTCCTGATTCTCTTGCCTCTGCCTCCCAAGTGCTGGAAATACAGGTGTAAACCACCCTCCCCCAAGGCTTTGTGCATGTTAGGTAAACTGTACCAACTGACTTACATTCCCAACCCCTGAATAGTTTTGAAAATGTTTCTTTTTTTTCCTTTTTTTTATTGGGTGTTTTATTTACATTTCCTATGTTGTCCCCTTACCCCTTCCCCCACCCACCCAGGAACCCCCAATCCCCTCACCCCTCCTCCTTCTTCTCTGTGGATGTAACCCTATCTACCCCCCCACACTCCCACCTCCCCACCCTTGACCGCATGAAGGCTGGATACCCCAGGGGGTGGAAATTTTGAAAATGTTTCTTAAAAGTTGTTCTTATTATCAACTATAGCAACTGCAAAGTATGGTCTTTGATGAGTCATAAAGTTAAAGATCTTAAGCAACTGGGTGATAGAGGAAAATGGAAGATGGAGCCTGAAATAATGAATAATAAATCACTATAAGTGTAGAATTATAAGAAAATGTATCTCAAGCCATAAAAATTAGGGGGCGAAGTGAAGCTGGAGAGGATATTACAGACCTCTCCATCAAAAAGTAGTGCAAAGAAGGTAGAGATAGAACCCTCTTGAAATGTCCTAGTAGATCACCAGTGATATAGCTGGCCTTTTGCTCTGTTTGGGTGAGGTTATCCTTATATTGGGTAGCATGTGACAAGGTCTAACAGATACCACCATGTTCAATATTTCAGCTTGGCTGGAGCAAACTTCCTATGTTGCAGATTATAACTATAAACAGCAATCAGTGTTGAAAATAGCCTATCATGTATTATACATGTGTGTATGTATCTGTGTGCATGATGTGTGTATGCATCAGCAACAACAGCAGCTTTAAGGGTTAAAAGAATAAAAATAACATAGAATTAAGTCACTGTCTACTATAGCCAACCATTCAATGAGATTTGTGAAGGTAAGGACCATGTTACAGTCTACTCTTGTGTCTTTACTGACTAGAACAGTGGGATTGCTAAGCTAGGGGTGAAAGAAGTGTTTGCAGTGCAGAATGGAATCCTTATGAGAAGAACTAGCTAGAACTTAATGCTTGCCGAGTGTGTACCGGGTATTGCTCCAATCAGCTCAGTTTCAGTCCATGGCAGCTCTGTGGAACAGATCTGATGTGTTCTTTGAGGCTTATCAAAGGCTTCTTGCATGTTCATACATTTCAAATATTTTCTGAAAGCAGACTTCCTTCTCCATTTGTTTTTACTAAAATCCCTGGTCTAAGTGGCAGGTTTCCCTCTGGCAGCCTCATACAAACCTTGCTTCCCATCAGCATTAATGTATGCTGGGGAACCTGGTGTTCTTCAGTGATCTGTCAGCTCATTAAGGACAAACTCCAAGACACTCCTTCTAAAGAAAAGAAGATCCTTTCCTTTATCTCCAGCTTTCCAACTAATTTTTAAAAGTTCGTCCTACATTCAGATTTGCTAGTGCATTTTAAAAGCCTAATATCACCTTTCTGCTGCAAAATCCCCTCTAAACTCCTACCTGGCATTTAGTCATCAAATCTCCTGGTCTCCTTTTGGTTGGGAAAGTTTCTCAGCTACTGTTTGTTTCTGATAACCTTGGCAATTTTGAGCAATGCTGGTCAGAAAGTTTGCAGAGTGTGCTTTTTGTTTGGCTTTTTCTTCAGACAGAGATGATGATGTATTTAGGGTAGATAACCAGGGAGGCAAAGTACCCTTCTCATCACAAATCTCAAGGATATATAACGACAACATGACTTGTAATGTCTTCCATGTTCTCACCTTTTAAGCTACTCTCTTCTTTCCATACTTTATGTACCATATTCCTTATAAGAAGCTACAAACATACAGCCCACACTCAAAAGCTAGGCTGGAATAAAGATCTGGAGTCAGTAGGACTAAGTTCTACCACTTTGAAGGGGATATATCCATAACACTTATCTACAATTTGGCATATGAAATGTGCCTCTTCTCATTTGTTTCTGCATCAAACCATGTATTTTTCTCTATCTATAGACTCGGGAATATTTATTTTATACTCTATATGACAATCTAATCTAAAGTTATTCATTTTGTTGTGTTTCAGCCACTGATGGGCTCTGGGTAGAGTAAGAATTTCCAGGCTGTCTTTTGGGTTCCTGTGGCATGCCTTGTAGCTTTATGGCTGTCTTTTGAGCATTTGCTTACTCTTTGGTATTAAAAGATGCTCAATCTTCATGTAAAGTTCCTGTTCCAGCCCTAGAGTGAGAGACAACTGGTTCTTTTTATCAGGGAATGGTATAAGAAATTATGATCTAAAAATTTTAGTTCATTTTAATTTATTCTTAAGTTAAATGTAATAATGCTCACATGTAGCTAACAACTACCATACACAACAGGATAACTCTCTAACCAAACTGCCATCCTCATACATTAAGATACTGCTTTGTATATGATGCTGATGAATCTCATCCCTTTGGGTAATTTGTTAGACTAGTTACACAACAAAGAATTACTTACCCAATAATGAAGCAGGAAACAGCAGTCCCCAAGAAGGCATAGGCCAGAATCGACCCAAGGTTTCTGAAAAAATGTCTCTGAATGAAACAAAAAAAAAATAGGGATTATAGTAATTCTTGACAGCAAGCCAAAAAAAAATCAAACATATAAACATAAACCTCATATTAAAAACCTCTAAAACCTGGTATTCTACATTGTTTGTACATCTAGTAATTTCAGATAAAACAATTCTGGCTAATAATATCAAGCTGTATTAAGTGTACATATATATCTCGACTATTTTTTTGAGACTGGACAAAGACCAGCTTAGTCCACGATCCTGCTAGCTCTAGTGGGATCTTAGAAGATCATTAGAGATTTAAGTCTGAAACAAATAAATGGGAAAGTATCTTCTTAATTTGATAGTGGAAAACAGACGCTTAAATATATACATATAGGATGTAAAATATTTCGTTATATCTTCTTATATTATCTGTTTTACTCTTTGGGGCCTGAAAAAGATTTACGAAAGAGACAGCAATGGAAAAGTAAGGATGGTAGTGAGTTCAATTCAAGATGGCAACGTTTGTATAGTAAGAAACCTAGAACCAATGTTAAGATATAGAGATCATTCAGAGGGAGAGTGTAATATAATATCCCTTTGAGGGGTTGCATATTCAAAAGTTAACTTCAAAATGAATACAACAAATACATGCGCACATACATTCACATCTTTCAAGTCATCAGGTCCATGGGGTCTTCTGATGGAGGGAGGGTTATAACCTGCTTTTAAGATCTTTTGGCAACATGCAAAAGCAATTCCTATTTAAAATTCAGAATTTCTTAATAAAAATAGACAAGTAAAATCCTCCAAACACCCTAATTAAACAAGAACCAACAAAACCTTAGCCATCATTTTTAAAGACAGCAAAGACCTAGTATACCAACTGAGTAACCTCAGGGAAAGCGGGCACAGTCAGCATCAGGCTATATGAGCTAAGGGCTGCAGTTGTCCTTTGCCCTGGATCTCAGACAGTCCAAGACTCTGTTATCATCCCACAATGTTCCTCTGAGAATCAGATGTCAAAAGAACATTTACTGCTCATAAGAATCTTTCAAGTGTATGTCATGCCAACAGCCACCAAATGAAGGTGTTGCCTAAACAGATAACGAACATATTATACTTGATTCTGTCTTGAGTCTTTTTTTAATGCTATTGTATTTATACAGCAAGATTTGGGATGTGTCATATTTCAAAAATATTAACAACTGAAATTCCAATAACACTCCATTAAAGAAGCTGATAAGATGTCTCAGTAGGTTATGGCACTTGCCACCAATCCTGATGATCTGAGTTTCAAACTCTGAGACGTGCACTGCAGAAAGAGAGAACTGGCCCCACCTCACTCCGCCCCTGCTCAAGTTGTCTTCTGACTTCTTGCACATTGTGGCATGCATGCATTTACATACATGGGCACCCGAAATAAATAAAAGCATAATGACTTTTTAAATTCCATTAAGGGCTTATATGAGGGAACACTAGAACCAATGGCATCCAGGTGATATACCCAGATAGAAATTGCAATCTCAGATGCACTTGTGGTGGAATTCGGTGTCAGAACATGGTTCAAGTATACAGATGTGTTAGAAGAATTCTGAGAGCTTGTAAGAAAACTCTAACAGGACAAGAGTCTTGTGACCTCTGTTCCTTCTAAACATTGGTTTGTTTTTGAAATGTGCTTTTGTTATTTGTGTGGTAAATAGGGTTTACTTCAGATTAACCATTATCTTACTTTCGTATTCAAAAAATGTTTCCAATCATGGCCTGTCCTTGAGTTTGTATATACCTTGAAGTCATGTGAACTTTGATCGTGTAACTTGCTTAACTGTCTAAGTTAGGGTTACTATTGCCGTGATGAAACACCATGCCAAGGCAACTAGGGAAGTTGATTTATTTTGCTCACAGCTCCACATAACAGTTCATCAAAGCAGTCAGGACAGGAACTCAAGCAGGGCAGGACCCTGGAGGCAGGAGCTGATGCTGAGGCCATGGAAGAGTGCTGCTTACTGACTTGCTCCTCATGGCTTGCTCAGCCTGCTTTCTTATAGCGTCTTAGACCACCAGCCCAGGGATGGTATCACTCACAATTGGCTGTGCTCTTCCCCGCATCAATCACTAATTAAGAAAATGACATCCAGCTGGATTTTATGGAGGCATTTTCTTAATTGTGGTTCCCTCCTTTCAGATAACTAGCTTGTGTTAAGTTGATATAAAAGTAGCCACCACATTAACCCCCAGAATAGAAATTGTCTGATACTCTAAATAAAGTTGGCTAGTGCATGAGACTTTAGTCTCCCTCATTTTTAGGCTCCATTCTCTTGGATTCACAGCACCAACAAGAGTGGTGACACTCGGATTTCTTTGGCCAATTATTCCCAGGATTAATAGAAATACAGATTAGATAAATTCACATTTATGATATTAGCTAAAGCACAAAACCAAAAATGTAAACCTACAAGAATATACTTGTAATATGTTCCAGAATCTCTCTCCACTACATATAAATTGTTCACTTCTTATTCAAACCTGCTGAACTAAATTTTTATTTTGAAAAGATACTCTTGCATATTATATCAGCACTTAAATGCACATTTCATAATATACAAAGTACTTTCATATGTACTAGCTCATCCAGTTCTCACAGCACCCCAGTGGGGATTCAATCAAACTTGTTTCCTAGCTTGCTTGCTTGCTTGTTTGTTTTGACCATACTAGAGATTGACTTCAGATCTTATGCATATTAGAGAAGTGCTTCACCACTGAGCTAAATTATCAGCTGTTGTCTAGACAGGGGGATTCACCCACTAGCCAGGCTGGCTTTAAACTAATGGAAGTCGCTTGCTTTAGCCTCCCCAGTACTGAGATTATAGGCATGAGCTGCCATATTCAGCTCATGAACCATCATACATAAGAAAAATTTAAGGTTCTATGACATGCTTTAGAGTTGCCTAAAATCATACATCTACCAAACTATAGCCAGGGACTGGAAAGCCTGTCTCTGAACTCCAGTGTGTGTCTCTCTCAATTGCCACCACTCTCTGCCTTTTTAGGAGAAATGGACAAAAGTTACTGAATTAAAGACTAGCCCTTTCTTCCTATTTTTGTGTGTCTACAATATAGTCATGATGTGTCTCTACTCTGCTCTCTTAGGCACAGGATGACAAGCAGAAACAGAGAAAAACATAGTGGCATATCCAAATAAAGCCTTCAAGAATCTAAACCTAGCACAGACCAGACCAAGGTTTACTTTGGTGAAATCCACTGGAGATTCCAGTTAGTAGTGTGCCACTCTCTGCCTATATTCCTACTGCTGCGGAAGCAATATTCTCTCACTTTCCCATCATCTGTGGTGTATGTGTGCACGTGTACATATGTGTGTGAGAGAGAGCCAGTCACAAAAAAATGCCCAGGTGATTTTTCCAATACGAGTGCCCTATAATAGGCACTCGTATTGAAAAAGTCACAAACAAACCACAAGAAATGGCACAAAATCAAAGGCAAAATCCAATAGTAACTTTTTCAAGGTAGAGAAAAGATGAGTGGATGTATAAAATATATATGTGTATAAAATATAATGTGTAAAAAATATATGTGTATAAAATATATATGTGTATGTGTATATGTATATATTCAGAATATAGCATATATCAAATGATCCAAATATGGTAAAATCTTTATCATCCATTTAATCAACACTAGGTGCAATCAGAGATAACAAGTACAGTAACAACCACCTATCTGCTGACTTTATATAAAGATTGTTTAAAAAAGAATGACACTAATGGTTGGTAACACAGAAAGCTAGCATGTCAAAAACAAGTTCAATTAATAAACAGGGAAAGCTTGTTATTTGGGTTTCTTTTAAGAAAATAGAACTGATGAAGGAAAGGTTATACAAAAATAAAGTGTTTTTCAACCATTAGAGAGGCTTTTATAACCTATGATTTGCTTTCATTTTAAAGCAACTATGACTTTGATTATATGTTCAGGTTAGGTATTTAAAATAAACTATCGGCCGGGTGGTGGTGGCGCACGCCTTTAATCCCAGCACTTGGGAGGCAGAGGCAGGCGGATTTCTAAGTTCGAGGCCAGCCTGGTCTACAGAGTGAGTTCCAGGACATCCAGGGCTACACAGAGAAACCCTGTCTCGAAAAACCAAAAGAAAAAAAAATTATCCATCATCCACTTGATCCAAAGAAGAGGTCTCAAATTCCCCACTGAGGGAAAAAATATCATCTCCACAATAACCATTTCTTATCTATTATGCATCAATAGATGATGTAAAGATTTAGATGACTTTGGCAACTGTATAAATGACTTGGAAAAAAGTGTACGTTTGAGATGTTTTATATGGAAACCTGCATCTAGCACAAAGGAAGAACTCCGGATGTGGAATTGACAGAGATGGTCTAGCTTTGACTTATTTCTCTATTGACTGCAGTATTAATCATTCTGTTTTGAGCATCAATGAAACACAGGGCCCTTTTTACATTCCAAACTCTATATATAGAAACAAACCGCCTCCTGTTCCTCTGGCACCCAGCAGCCCAGCCTTCTCATGTTCCTCTCCCGTCCCAGCATGATGCAGCAAGGAGGCTCCCTTGATCTATGAAAGACAACACCAGTTTGCTTTGACTAGAAGTCTTCATCATTTTATACAGGATAGAGTGACTGTTCTTGCTGCTCCTCCAGTTGCCATACTGTGAGTGAAAGAGACAGAAGTTTCCAGCATCTCTTCATTTCAGCCTCCTTACCTCTAACTGTCTGAGCTGACAGCTAAAAGGTCTCTGTCATTTTGTCTTCAACTCATGAAGTACTTATGGAGTACTATTACTAAGAGCTAACCTTCATACTACAATAGGTTTACCAGGGCATTTGAACCATAAATTAATTGTTTAATCATGAGCTAAATCCTTATGTTAATGTTCAACCATCATTATTTCCTTATAGATTATGGCACTGTTCATATAGATTTATAAACAGAAATAAATATGTATCGTTCCTGTACCTAGCTGATACTCCAAAATGGTACTGATAGAAAATCTAGTATGTTGGGCAGGCCTCCTCTCCTAAAGGGAATTGGGAAGTGTTCCATTTTCTATTTTCTAAAAGAGCTTTTGCAGGGATGGTTTTATTTCTTCTTAAAATGTTTGGTCTTGTTCACTATGAAGCCATGTAAGTAGGGTTTTAACTATCAACTCAGTTTTTTATTTAACACAGAGCTGTCCAAGTTTTCTATATTATCTCTAGTCGGCTTTGTTAATTTGTGCTATTCAAGGAACCTGTCCATTTCACTTGTCAAATTTACTAGAACAAGAGCTAGAAAGACACCTCAATCTATAAAGTGCTTGCCATACAAGCAAGCATGAAGACCTGGATTTGATCTGCAACATCCACATAAAACAAAAGGCTGGGGAGCTGGGAAGATGGCTCAGGGGTAAAATCTCTGGACACAGCTGTGTGTTCCTGAAGATCCAGCATTGGCAGGCAGAAAAACAGATCATGAGATCTTGCTGGTCAGCCATCCCTAGCCAAACATTGAGTTTCTGGTTCCATGAGAAATCCTATCTAAGTGCAACAAGACAGATAGCAACAGAAGGAAACATTTGACATTTTCTTCTGGCCTCTGCATGCAGATCCCTGGAGCTCCCTGACCAGTCAGTGTAGCCTACTTAAAGAGTTTCAGATCAATAAAAGATGCTATCTTTTTTTAAAATGAGGTATAGGGTCCCTGAAGAATGACACCTAAGGTTGACTTCTCCCTGCCCCATATAATTTACTGGCACAAAACTGTTCTGAGTACTCCTTTATTAACCACTGAGTATCTGAATATTCTGTAATGATACCCTTTTTTATGTTCATAATACAATTTCCCAGTTAATGTAGGCACAGTTTCTCCATTTAGAAGTCATTTCTAATTCATAAAATGATATTGGGTTTTACTGTCAGCCAACATCTTTCTTCTCTAGAACTGGAAGGTTTGTCTCTCACCTTCCTTCAGAGCTGAATAAACTCCATGTCTGTTATCCTAGGAAAGTCTTTGGGGAGCTGATGTTCACAAAACATTCCCACAATAAGATAGAGCAGATAGATAGATAGATAGATAGATAGATAGATAGATAGATAGATAGATAGATAGATAGTTTTGGCTTAAGATGCTGTCAAGTATAATGATCCTCAATAATGAGGTAGTTACGTTCTTAGCAACTTTTTTTTTTTTTACTTTGGACTAACAGTAGCTTTACTGAAGCTGCAAATGTAGAAAGGTTTTGGGTACCCCCCCCATCCACCACCACCTCTGCCAACTGTATTGTATGTAGCTGTAAGACTGTATCCAAAACTAGGAGATTGATATTGGGACAAAGTCAATGTAATTTTATCACATGTGCAGACTGTATAACTACTGCTACAGTCAAAAAACAGAGCTGGCCTGGAGTACAGCACTTGTCTAGCGTGTATGCAAGACTTTGCTTTCCATCCTTGGCACCACAAAAATACTATCTAACATACAGAAATATTCCATGACTACAAAAATGTCCCTTGTGGTCTCCCCAAACTCTACCTTATCATCATCTCTAATCCCAGGCATCCAAAAATTTGTTCTCTATCTCTATAATTTTGTAATTTTGTCATTTCTGTAATGCTACATAAATGGAGCAATATAGCATATAACCCTGAATCTGGATTGTTTGACTCAACAAAATGCCTTATAAGCCTATCCAGATTGGATATCAATCATTTTTCCCATGTGATCACTGAGTATTTTTCTATGGTATGGGTATACTACAGTTTGTTTAACCATTACCTGCAGGAAGGCATTTTGGTTGCTTTGGGGTTTTATCTTACAAATCAGATAGTATGAAGAATGAGGCATAGGTTTTTGTGTGAACATAAGTTTACTTTTTCTTCAGGAAATCCTCAGCAGTGAAGCTGCTATGCCTTAAGACACCTTCAACTTCTACTCACTTACAAGAAACTATTTTGTTTGCCAAAGTGGCTGCACCATGTTACATTCATGCTAGAAGTTTGGAAGAGCTCTACATTTTAAAACAGAAACAATTTATTGATGATGAGTCTCTGAGTGGTTACACAACACAGAAATCTGAGAGGTTAAGGGGAAAACTAGAAATTATCCAGGTCAACATTGAGACTTCCACTTCCCCTTCCCCTCTCCCAAAAAAGAAACAGCCTAGACAGGAAGCCATTGAAAAGAACTCTTAAAAATTATGATAGGGATGCTGAAGTGTAGCTCTTCACAGGTGATGGCTTCTGGAGAGGGTGCAGGTGGGGAACGACTCAGTTTTCTTTAAGGGGCAGACCACTGGGAGTTTGACCATGCTCCAGTGAGTATATGGGCAACATAAATTGGACTTGGTAGTGTTTTCTTTTTCTTCCCTTCTTTTTCTGGAAGTAGGTCACAAGGGCGGGGGGGTGCTGGGAGGACTGGTAGTGTCCTCCAAGTGATCAGGTTCATTATGTGAAATTCTCAAATAATCAATAAAAATATTATGTTGGGGAACAAAGGAGAAAGATCTTAAGAAATCACTGGCAAAAATGCTCATACCTTCTTTAAGCTGTATCCAGCATGGAAAATAATTGGAGGCAGCAAAATGTTGAAAAATACCTCTGGATCAAATGTTACCTAAAAGTTTAAAAAGAAAAAAGTCAAATTTAAGATAAATCTCAACTGATTGTATAATATTTATGTAATATTAAAAGCCATTGACTAAAGTGCCTTATTTATAACAAAAGCCATCAATGTGTTAAATCACTACAACAGATAAGCCACAATTTCCCTATTGACTGGCATGTTCTCCCTGCCCATGGCCGCCCCCAGTGATTCTGACTTAAGATTCCAGTATTCTGTTTTAATACATATTAAGTCACAACAGTTTGAGGCAATTTGAGGAACTCACAGGCAACTGCTGCCAATGTTTTTCAACAGAAAATAAAAAACATCTTGATTTTCATCACACATTCATAAAGGCTTAATTGCAATAAAAATATTATGAATTTTTATTAACTTCCCATTTGTAGACCCAATTAATTCTATGACATTTAAGTCTCTTTTCAGGGAGCAGCCTTTCATGTGACCAAGCAAAGTTATCAATGAGGTCAGCCGCTTCATGATCATCAACTGAAATTACTTGTTGTTGATAAAAAGGAACTCACACTGACACTTCTACTCAGCCAATCATAGGACAGCCCAAAGGAGCTAAGCATTTATAAACAGGTAAAATTGGGGGGGGGAGGGGTAGGAGTAGACTAAATATTTAAAATGATTAAGTGGCATAAAATCAATTAATATACCCACATGAATAAATCTTTAATATTGATTTCTTGCCTATCTTAGAAATCACCCACATGAAAGACAGGTGATCTTTTTTTTTGGGGGGGGGGGACTTGAGATGAGCCTGTGCTACATTTTAAGACAGTATCTTAAAAGAAAATGATATGAAATTTTTACAATTGAGAAATAATGCTTAGACTTAAATTCTAAAACAAGTCCTCCTTCATTGGAATATTAGGTAAGTCTTCGGCATCAATCATTAATATGTGTAAGCACTCATATATTTGCAGACTATGTCAAGAAAGCCATGAGGAACTAGAATTGCATTTCAGAATATTGACTAAGCTAAAAGGGAGACTAATATTATTTTTTAAGAGATAAGTGCCCATGTGGTGATGGTGCACACCTTTCATCCCAGCACTTGGGAGGCAGAGACAGGTGGATGGATCTCTGTGAGTTTGATACATGCCTGGTCTACAGAGCTGGTTCCAGGGGAGCCAGGATTTCACAGAGAAACCCTGTCTTGAAAAACAGAAAGAAAGAAAGAAAGAAAGAAAGAAAGAAAGAAAGAAAGAAAGAAAGAAAGAAAGAAAGAGAGAGAGAGAGAGAGAGAGAGAGA